TGACTTACAGGTATGCATTACTTTTTTTTCTGTGAATCATGGGAGGTTTATTTTCCAAGAAGGTATTAACCATGTTCCCTATCAAATGATAAGTAGGTGTAAGGGGATGTGAACCTAATAATTGAAACGGACTGAGGACAGTACGCTCCTATTTGGTATCATATGTCTAACTTGAGTATCTATGCTAATAGGAAAATTATATTTATTTATCTGCAGCTACATCCAGAATTATGTATTTATATCAAACTTCTTTATATATTCTTTTTTTATCTTTCTTATTGTTTAAATAAATATTCTTGTAGATATTGACAGTATCCTTGTAGATATTATCTAATTATTTCTACATCTTTGAGAATATTCTAAAAAAAATTTTCGGTGTTAAACTTCGTTATTAGGGTACCCTTCCCGTAAACGGACAACTCTCATAAACGTAAAAATTTTTTGGTCTCATGAATGTCCGCTTAACGGAGGTTTCACTGTATATATATATTTACAGTACAGAACCCATTATCCGGAAATCAGAAAACCGGAAAACCAAAAAGCCGGAGCGAAATTCGATACATTTTCCCGCCATTTTTTAAAAAAAATTTTTCCTCATAAGATTCTAAGATTTTTCTTTCTTTTTTGGAAGATGTTTACCTTACCATTATTTTGGAAATAATCATTAGTGTATTACTTCATCGTTTTTTCTTCTTTTTAAGATTATTTCCAAATATTTTTTTTTTAAGTTGGGTTTAACAATAAAAAAACGGCTTTTTGTAGCGATTCAGAAAACCGGAAAAATCAGTTATCCGGAATAGCGATGGTCCCGATCGTTCCGGNGAATTCACTGTGTGTGTGTGTGTATATATATATATATATTGAACATTTAAATGATTCCATGAAACTGGATCAAAATTACAACAATTACTGTTCCAGAAAGAAATGCAACTAAAAACACTATTTTATAACAAAAAGCTGTTACTATAATACTGCAAAAGTAAAGTGGATACAATAAAAGTCATCCCTTTTTATTAAAAAAAGAATTTTTAGAATAGTTATATTCCAATTTTGAAAAAATATACTATTTTAGAGTAAGTGGAAGTTTGGATTAAATTTTTAATTAAAGGTCCTGCTTGTTTTGGACCAGTTTAAAACAAAGGACACTAACAAAAATACATATGAAACCGGCAAGATAAAAAAAAATGTTTTAAAGTTTCAAAATGAAAAAGAAAGAAACTTTTTATTAACTTTTAAATGAAAAAAGTAAAATAACAAAAAATGGAGTAGATAAATTATTCTTTTACCCTCCTACATTTGCAGTAGTAGCAAAATATTTTTTTAGTGGTAGCAACTAAAAGCAAAAATTTATAAAAAATATAGAATTTTATAGCATTAATATCAAAACTATTTTTTTTTCAAAATTTGACTATTTGACCCTTTATCCATCTACTTAATTTATTTACATGCAGTGTTGAATAAAATTCTTAGAAAGTTAGTTAGAAGGTATGCATTTATTGAAATTAAAAATACAATAGCAAATAAACTTCCCTACAGCTCCAAATTGATTATGTTTTGAAAAGATAAAGTAATAACTTTTTTGCCATGAATTTGGGTGCATGTTTGTTTCAAAAAAATTTGAGATAGTTTCTAATTTTACGCCATTTAAGCCAGTAAATAAATAAAATATTGAGAAGAACAATTTTTTGAATTTTATGTTTGAATGAAAACTAAAAACTGTTAAATTTGTGTCAAGTAGTAACTGACTCTTTTTATAGTATTGTTTACATAAACTAAAGAGAAAATATATTTCTATACAATATTGTAAATAAAATAATCCCAAGAAACTGAAGCTTCAAGATATTACTTGATTAAATTCATTCGCTTCAAAAATATATATGCTATCTATATACAAATATATTTCCAATTTATATAGTTTTGAAAAGAATGAAATTTTTAATCAAGTAACAATTAATCAAGTATTGTATTTCTACTTAATTATGTACATTGGAAAACTACTAACATTAAGGAAAAACTGTAATTAACATACATTGATTCCTTGATAGTGTTGGCTTCTTCAAGTGACGTATTTATATTAAAAAATAAACAAACAGAGGTGCATTTTGACATATAATATTAGCAATAAATACGAACAATTACAAAATACAGTTTCAGAATTTGTTTTACTTAAAAAACTTTCATTTCTTAAGTAAACACAATTAATTATTAGGATTATGAAATCTTTGAAAATAAATATTAATCTACTCTTTAACAGATTTCATGCTAAACTGTGTGATGCTAATAATCATATTTAAGAGATAATATAAGTTTAATAAAATATTAAAAAAAAGTTCCCTAAACTTCATCAGGCACTTTCTAGAAATACCATTGCTATCTTTTAAAAGCACTTCTATGAAGAAAAAGAGCATTCACAAAAAATTATTGTATTAATTGCAAATATCTAAACATATTGAACTCTTTCACATATTTAGTATTATAATTATGAAAAGTGATCCTTCAGGACAAATATAAGTCAGTGTTATCAATGAAAATAAATTTCTTCAAATTGAAGAGGCACAAATCATTACTTACTTCATTCGCACCACTAAAAAGTGGTTCACCTGTATGCATTTCAACTAATATACAACCTAATGACCACATATCTATAGCCATATCATATGCAATACCCAGTAATACTTCAGGAGATCTATAGAATCTACTTTGAATGTATTGATAGATCTGCAAAAAAAATTTTAAAAGGAATATTTAAATAAAATATTTAAAAAGATATTTAAAAAATGTTTTCAAACTTATTTTTTCCCAAAGAACAGAAATGATTAAAAATACAATAAAATATGTAGACTTTAGGCATATAAATGTTTTGCTGAATGTAAATAATACGTAAAAGACATTTTTAAACTCTTCAAGAATAATATAATCAATTTATTTTACTTGATTAAAAGCATTCTTCTAGTTGATTCCATTTTTTTAAATTAGTGTACGGCCCTGTCTTCGAATACCAAGAAGACTTTAAAGATCATAGGAAATCAATAAAGGCTCTAAAGTAGGTAAAATATAGCCCATTGAATAGGTAAACCATAACAATTGGTAGTTATGCAATGAAACAGATTGGACTTTCGTTTGTAAACTTCTTAAGAAAAAGACACTTTCAATACTTAAAATAAGAAAGCATGTGGTTGATATTTTATTTAAGGAAAAAATTAAGTAAACGGTTAATTTAAAAAAATTAATAATTGAACAAACATTTATTTGCAATACGATATTTATTACATTGGATTATTTGAAAAATATCCTGAAATTTTAAATAGTTTCCAAAAAAGCCATATAGAGGCATTTATAAGGTCATTAAACAGGATGCTTCATAAGGACCATCCCTAATATGTATTTTTAGAATTCTTATTAAACATGAAAACAATGAAGTTGCTAAAGAGAGGAGTTGAAAAAGGATTATTTGTAATGTCTTTCAGTTATACCTACTTTAATTTTTGTTACATTCACCTTCTTCTATGATAAATCGTCAGATTTTGATACCGTTTTGTTTTTTCTGTGCTTAAATATTAATTTGTGACCCTCAATAAGTATGCTCTTTCATTTTCATTTTTTATATGCTTCTTTGTTCGTTTTTCAGAACGCCCTGTATTTATATGGGTAAGACTTGTGAATTTTCAATGATTTAAAAATGGAACAATTAAAAAGAAATTTTTTTTAAATAACATATAATTCTTGCTCAATTTAGTTATTTATATGATTTATACAAAGCATATAAAAACTCTTATCCTCATGGTTCTTCTATAACTAAACCATCCTAATCATCTATCAAACAATTTTGATAACTGTTTTCTGATCTTCTAGAACAGTGATTCCAAACTACTGCGAATTCTCCAAGGAGGGAATTTCATAGTTTCAAGGGAAAATTAGGTTAATTTGATTACACTTACAAATTTCTTTTAGTTTAAAAATTAAGAATAATTTTTGGTTAGGTTTCTATTTAGATTTTTTTTAAAAAACTTTTGTTTTTATTGACGTTTTTATTATGATATGGCAATTAAGAAGGTTCTATTAGACTTCATTAATTTTTCTTCACTCTTTCTTGAAAAAAAAATTGGAAAAATTGTGATGTTCAGCTTTAAAATTTTCCTTCAAGAATTAAGATTGATTTTAATTTTTCTGTTTCGTTTTTGTATATAATCTTTTGTTTTTAAAGGCATTTTTATGATGGCGCAACATTTTAGAAGAGTTTCTGATAGATTATATTTTCTATGGATACTTTTTTTTTCAAAATATATAATTTTTAGCATTAAAGTTATGTTTTAATAATAAAGAGGATTTTTTTTCTATATATAGTCAGTTTTCTATTTATCTTAAATATTAATAATAGATAACTATTATGTTTTTTTCTTCCTATCACCACATACCAGTAATATAGCTAAGCTCTGATTAATTTTCAATAATGACTAAACTTGTCTATACATAAAAAAATATTAATGACTTTTTTTATAAAAAAAATATTGCTATTCAGCTGCCAAATATTCAGTATCCGGATAATTTATTTGTCAAATATTTGGCCCAGTCACTATTCATTCTAATACTTTCAGGAAATAAATTTGAGGTAAGCTTTTTTAGAACTAACTGACAAGAAGTTAAATTCATAGTTTGTCTATTTAAAAAGTTCTTGATATTTAATAAGACATATTTTTTGAATTTAAAAGTGATTCTTAAGAATTAAAAGTGAAGGCATGTTTAAAGAGAAATCCGTCAGAAACTTTAAGTCCTTAATGTGCAAGTGTTGTTGTTGAGGTATGCCTGTTTTAGGAAGAGGAGGTGTGATTATTCTTGTTTTTGAGTGGCGACATCTATGACCAAGAATTCAACTTCTGCCACACCATTCGTCCAAGGTTGGCAAGTTTCTGCCGAAGTGGTTAAAACCACTGGTAGAAACCGGTTAAAACTGGCATGGCAGAAACCCTTTTCTGTCACATTTGTGGCAGAAACTGGCAGAAACCCTTTTCTGTCACATTTGTGGCAGAAACTGGCAGAAATTCAGAAAATAATGACATAAAAGTAAATACTGAGATTGACATACAATGGATAATTCATAGAAAAAANCTTCTGTGATCAATAATTTTTTGAAACGTCTGGACCTTCGATCTCCGGAAACTTCCGGATCCCTGTTAGCGAAATATCCGGAAATCCGGATTTTTTCCGGAGCACAATCAGCCCTGTGAACCCAAACAATTTCTTTTCTCAATTTGATATACTGCACTCTTTATATTTAATGTAAACAAAATTAATAATATATATTTACAAACAATGAATTTAAAAGTTTGTTACAGCTGCATAGAGTTACATTTTTCAGTTCACTTAAACAAAATGTCATTGAGCAATTACTAGAACTAATATAGATGTTTTTTTAGTTTCTGCCAGTTTTTACCAGTTAAAACCAGTTTCTGCCACTGGCATGGCAAAAACCAGTTTTTGCCGGCAAAAAGCCATCCCTGCATTCGTCACACCCGTTTATAGAGCGGTCACATTCATACATCCATTCATTCATCCACAGATTGTAATTTTGACCTGAATCAGAGAACGGTCGATCTCCAATCCGGTACCCCCAGAGGTATTGAGGTATTTGTTATGGGAACATGGTAAACTTTTGTGCAAGCTAATCCATAAGTAACAGAAAATGAAATCATTACATTTTTTCTATTATTAGGCCATTATTCTTTATTGTGCTGACTTATTTTTGCCAATCAGTAGTCCCAATTATGGAATTATTTTTATGATTCAATTAAAAAAATATTTCATTTATTTTAACTCATTTATTTTACTGGAATAATTAATTTATTAATATAAAAAACTAAGAGAGCACTGATATTTCAAGTTTTTAATCCCTTTGTTACAATCTTAAAACCTGTTAAGAAAATTCCAAATCTGAAAAACAATAGTATATTTTAGAAGGGACCAATGAGCTTCTAGCAATAATAAAAAAATTTTAAGTGGGGGTAAATAAGTAGAGAAACACTGGTCTAGCATTTATCCAATTTCATAGGGTTTCAAAAATTTATCTTGAAATCTTTTATTTGTATTTTATTCTGCTGATACTCATTAGAAATAGGTAGAAATAAAATAAGAGATACCCAAAAAGAATATATGAGAATATACAATAATAATATATGAACATTTATATAAAATTTTTATATCCAAGTTTATTAGGGATACTTTATAATTAATAATAATAAATATCATGATTTGCTTTAATTAATAGTTTAGAAAAAATATTATACATTGATATAACATTTAAAATAAAAGAATAACATAATACTCACTCTTTGACCAAGTTGACAGGAACTACCAAAGTCCACAATTTTAATTGCGCTTCTTTTGGGATTACAAAGAAGAATGTTTTCAGGCTTTAAATCACAATGAATAATATTAAGATCTGAACTAGATAAAAACATCAATGCTGTGCACATTTGTTGAGCAAACTTGCGAGTTAAGTTCAAAGACACACCACGAAAATTTGTATTTCTTAATAAGTCATATAAGTTATAAGACAGAAGTTCAAATACCAGGCACAGATGATTTCTCCACATAAAATGACCTTTTAGTTTCACTAAAAAGGAAGAATTAAAATTAGAAAACATTCAAGTTTCCATTAATATATTGATTCTTAATAATATAAATATTGATTAAATTGTTTATTTAAGAGCATAGAAATTTCATAACGATTACAAAATAAAACTATTTTATACTATTATACTGTAAGAATTTAAACTACCATATATTTCAATGAACAGTTACGCAAAAATAAAAACAAACCACCTTGAATAATATTTCATCTAATGATCGAATCTTCATGCACTAAGACTCAATCTTAATGATTAAAGGGGGTGAGCATTAAGGATTAGCATTAAGGAGTCCAAACTTTAAACCGCTTTCCGGACCAAACTATTGGGACCTATTTCCGAGATTGCAACCACCCCAGGCAGTTTAAATATCAGAAATTCAAATTCATCCCAAAAAATTATGCTTATTCAGAGAAAGTACGTTTTTGTGTCTGATTTCATAACTTCAATTATCCTCTACATAAATTAATAAGAACATTTAAGGCTTCCCTCTTGAATCATTAAGTCCTAGTATGTGAAGAAGATACGATCATTAGATTAAAAGTGATTCTGGGTAGTTAATTTTTTTGGCAACTGCACAGTGAAATTACGAATTTAGTAACTTTAATGTTCTTAATGCAATAATAGACGCATCATGTGTCGATACAATGTTTTTATCAAGATTTTTAGAGGGGGAAGTAAGCCGCTTTTTGAAATTTCTGTCAAAGCTTTGACGCTAACTATCAACTGCCTTAAAATGAAGTTATATTTTTGCAGTTTCAGAACATAAGATATATGTAAGCTTAATTTTTCTTCCAATTATCCTTATTAGGTTGAACATACCACCATGGCTATTTATTTTAAAGTAAATTTACTAATGACAGTTTTGTCACAATTTAGTGCTACAAATTTTAGAGAGAGTTGCTATGAACAAATGCACAATTACATTTAATTATCCTTGGAAATTAAAAAGAAGGGAAGAAAGAGTGGGAAAACAATTATCAAAAAAGTGTGTTTTTCACTTTGAGTTGACAATGCCATGAATTAAAAAAATAAAAACACAGTAACAATACCAGATATAAATACATATTTTTTAAAAAGCTTTATCAAGTTTCAGAGAAAAAACGTTGATCTTTTTGTCTTGCAAAATTTATAACTAGTCCAGCTATTAAGATTGAATTTAACACTGTTCTAAAATTGAGAATCATATGAATTTCAAGAGCAAAATAATTCATAATTTTTCCTAACCTGAGAAAAAGGGTAATGATAGTACAATATGTCATGGATGTTCTTTTCAAAATCAGTTTTTCATTTTTCACTGAATTTTCTGAATATTTTTAATCAAAACTAAATATTTGATAAAATATGAATATGTTTTAATGAATATGTTTATGAAATATAACTTGCACTAATTCACTATATTTTTAATAATAAAATAAAGAAATATTTACACAAGACCTCTTTTAATATGTTATTAGGTTTTGATAATATTTTAAATCTGGCCCTATTGTTAAAACTATTTCACATTTATTCAAAATAACGCATATCTTAATGATTAAAAAGTATATTTTTATAAATTTATTTAAATAAGAAAACAAGGTTTTGAAAACAATATCATAATCTCGATTATAAAAGGAAAATCTTTCTGTAATCAAAAATATCTATAAAGATATTCTCTAGATAATAGAGAATATCAAGTCTATAAATAACATGAATTATTTCAGGATGAGGTTTCCTAAAGAATACATACAATACATTAGTAAAACAATTTTGAAACTTAATAATGTTAAAAAAGAATTTATCATCCATAAAATCAAAAATTGTTGTTTTTTTATGAGAAATATTTTGAAATATACAAATTTGTATTCATATAAAATAACAAGGGGACTGAAAAGTTATGTCATATTTATTTACGATGAATTCAAACAGATGAACTTATAATAATTATTTATTTTAATCAATAATATAATCACTCTCATTGACACTCTGGACATCATCTAAATTTTTTAATATTTTGTCACTTAGAAAATGCTGTAGAGATAAGAAAAAATAAAAATCTAATGGTGCAGTATTTGCCTAGTTTGGTGGTTAAGGCAGAACATGCAACCCTAATTCAACCCTTTTCCCAGAGTTTGGTGTCTTGCTGATTGACAAAAATTGGGATTGGAAAAATCAAAAATACCAGATTTGAATTAACAAAACAACCTTGAGCATTAATAAAAAGTTGTAAAAACATTGTAAGTGTTTTTGATTGTAACTGCTGTGATACTATCTTTAAAAAACCAAAAATAAATATACAATGTTGAATCTGTACTTTTGATATTTGGCTGTCCCTTTTCTCCTAATGACAGAATTAATATTGAGACATGCAGAAACAACATAACTTTCCAGTCTTGCCAATATATGAAAGAGAATTTTATCACTACAATACTGTTTTATAAACTAATAGAACTGAAAATGTAATTACATCATGGAATTTTACTGACATACCTATTTTATCTTGTCCGAGCAATTCAAAACTACTATCACTTTCATGGTTATTCATCATCTCTAGAAGCTTAACTTCAATTTGGGCTTGATTTAAAAATGGTTTTTTATTTTTGATGATTTTAATGGCAACGTGACACTGATCCTTATGATCATATGCCTTCACAACCTACAAAAGTAATAAAAATATAAATCGTAAAAGTAATGTACTCCAGTGTTGAAAAGTTAAGCATAATTCATACATGAGGAAAAATGTAAAATTATGCTTAACTTTGGGACACCTGTATGTACATAAACACATATATTAATAATAGAACAATTAAAGTTTAGACAAAAATAACAACAAAAAATATCACGAAAATTACTAGTGGAAACATGACTTTTAATGAGTTTGTTTAGATTAAAGTGTGTGTTTTACATATATATAATTTTAAGATCATTTTAAATTTTTTTGTCGTAAGGATCACGCTTTAATGAAATTAGTGCTGCCATCTAAAATTTGTGATGTATCGTCACTATAAACATTACAGGATAATCATCATTTTCTATGCTATTCTTGAATGCATGTCTCACAATATTTTATGTTCACCAAGAAGTCATATGTTAGCTAAGTTATCACCCTGTGCATCGATATATATACATTTAAATACAGAAAGAGGCAGTTCACTATATCTATTGATTATTACCTGCCCAAATGAACCTTTCCCAATAAGTGAATCAATCTCATATCGATCAATGAACTTTTCTCCGGTGCGAATTATGTAATCATGATTATCATCATCATAACCTTCATTGTACACCTTTCTTTCTTTTTTATGGCTAGTATCTTCACCTTGGGTTTGTTGAGCTCTCCGTTTCTTTTTTGCATAGTAAACCTAGAAAAGGACATTTAATTTAATGAGTATAGATATAGAACAAAAACTGTTTTCTTCAAATCTTTCCTAATTTAACATTTCTTAAAGAAGAAGATGTATGACAGATTTTGTAACATTACAAGAGCTATGAACAATTCAAAAGAATGCAAGAAACCCATTTCAACTAATTAAAAAAAACTGATAAAAATAAAAGCAATATTTAAATATCAAATGCAGGATAGTTAATTAACACAGTAACATATTTAAATGGACTATGATTTTTTTCCTTTTTTAATTTAAATATGTATGTTATTAAAAATATAATAATTTTGTGAAAATTCGTTGTATAATAGATTTTAATTAAATTATTGAAAATTTTTGATGCCCACATGAAAAATTATTATTCAAAAAAAGAACTATACACGGTTTTCAAATTTTTTTTTTCCGTCGCTACATCTCCTTGAATTTCATATGCAGTCTCTTTGAAGTGTTTCTAAGACAACAGTGGAAAGGCTAGATTTTAGGTTGGTATTATGTTTAGACCGTACCTTGCTATTTTAAAAAAATTAATCGTTCTACAAAACTCAACCTACCATCTACATTAATTTTCTTTCTACTTTTCAAACTAATTAAATTTTTATAGTGTTTTGCATATTATATACAAATAAAAATTTCTGTTTCTAAGTGTTTATTGAAACAAATGAAACTTTAAAAACATACTTCATTAATTTTTTTATAAGTTTTGATGAGATCGACACTGAGCTTTCTTAAAGGTGCTTCACTTGGGTCCCGCTTATTTTCGGATATAACTGTAGTTGTAAAGTTATCTTTACGAACATCTTCTACATCCAGAAAAAAACGACCATATGTAGCAGAGGTGTTATTCACACCTGAAAAATAAAAACAAATTATGAAACTAGTGAATCTTATCTTTCATAAACAATAATGTAGAGTAACAGTAAGTTTTCAAATAAATATAAAAAATTGAAAAGAAAAATAAATAAAGTATATACATACTACGAAATTTCAAAGTTACAGATTGTATCACAAAATTATACTTGAAAATGCTCGATGAATCATCATGTTAGGGTTGCAAGATTGTCGCGGCGCGAATTTTCGCGACCGTTTCCGCGAAATTTCAAGTTTTTTTCAAAAATTCGCGAATTTTTTAAAATTGCGCGATTTGAACGTAAGTTATTCAATTCGCGCGATTTAAATGAAAATTATTCACAATTTGAAGTTATTATTTAATAGCATTTCATCTTTCGTCACTGACAATGCGTCTTACATGAGCAAAGCATGGGAAAAAAGTTTGAAAGCAGTTTTCTTGAATGCTGTTCATGTGACTTGCAATGCACATCTTTTAAATCTCCTAGGAGAAATATGGCAAAATCAATTTAAAAAAGTGAATTCTTTTATTGTGCATTTAAAGCGTGTATTCACAGCATGTCCTTCACGTAAGGGTCGATTTCGAGCCTTTTTAGTTGAAAAGGGTAAAAACGCCGCTCTACCACCGGTTCCTGTACAAACCAGATGGAATAGCTAGTTTAAGGTAGCTTTGTTTCACGTAAATTACTTAGCTGAATATGCAGAGTTCTTCGATATAGAGCAACAAAATAGCAGTAGTTCTTTGATCAGCACGATTTCCGAAGAATGTTGTAACGCAGAATTGAGTGAAGATTCAAGAGAGATTGAAAAATATGAATCTTTAATTTTGAATCTATTAAATTTATATGAAAAACAAAGAATAAGTTTGCATGTTATTTTTAATGAAATGTCTGATCTTGCTGAAGATTTAAAAAGCAAATCTATAACCTGCCAGCACTTCAAATCTANCCTAAATTCATGATCTATTGAATTACTTAGTATGAAGAATCACAATAGATGGAAAGGGATATGAAACATTTAAATCTGTTTGATTGCCGGTTGAAACTTGAGTGTCTTTCCAATAATCACCTTTTAACTTTTAGGCAATCAAATAAGTGTTGATGATTTTTTTTTTTATTTTGCTTTCTTTTTAATGATTCATCAAAATTTGACAATGATTTTCTCTTTTCTTTCTCAAATGAGAAGATTTTTTCAACTTCTTTTTTTACAAAAATTCTAAACTTCATACACAAAGCTATCAAACATTCTTTTGATTCAATTGTCATATATTAGAAGTTAAAACACACTAATAATACTATGAAATTAATAATAATATAATAAAATTTAATAATACTATGAAATTCATAAGATATATTTCAATAAAATTTTTAATTAATAAAACTCTTTGTATCATTAACTAAATCAGTGATGCAGTAAGGGCATAACAAGCCTTTCCGTAACAAATGAGTAAATTTTCAAATACATAATTATATTTCCTTAAATAATTTTTAAAAAAAAAGTATAACTCTCATTTTTCTTAAGAGTTTTTTTTATTCCTAAAATTAACTTTGGAATCACAAATTTCAAATTATTTCATATGTAATTCTACGAGTCTAGCATTTTGAAATCCCACATAGCTTTTCTTCAATTCTATTTATTTTTATTATTTTGATATTTCTTTTAAAAAAATCTTAATGTAAACATACATTTTGTAATAGATATTCTAAACGAAAATAATTAATTTTCATGCATGGATTTATTCAATAAAACTTCATATTTAGAAAAAGAAGAAAAAAAACTAGGAACAAGGCAGCCAAGATATTTTTTATTGGCAAACAAAAATGTTTTTAGGCTACCAAAATTTTTTTCAGGCCAATGGAGGGTATAACCAGAGCCTGAATAAGGCAAGGGCATATGGGGCAGCTGCCCTGGGCTCCCATATCGAATAGAAAGTATATTTTACGTTTCCTTCTGTATTGAACTTTTTTTAAACAAAATATCTGTACAGGGTATAATTTGTCATTTAATTTAGCTTCTTTATTAATCTATCGTAGGAACACAAAAAATCCATAATTTGTAAATTCATGGCTTTCTAGGCGGGAATTCAGCTAAATTTACGCAATTGCGATGGGCAAATTTGGTCAATCAAAATCCCGCATTTTTACATATCGCGAAATGCGATATGTTTACAAACATATGGGTTTCTAATTGGCGAAATTACTATCGTAATTACGAAAATTCAGCTGAATTCCGCCCTAATGTCACAAGAATATGAACTTTTCGCAGCTAAGTGACAAAGTTAACAATCAGAAAACTGTATTTCAGAAACTGCCTTCTCATGATGGACATAGAATTGTCAGAAAATCAATAAAATGGACAGAATGATATTTTGTCTGATGATTGGAGGTGGTGGGGGACTTTATAACTATTTTAGGTTCTAGCCAATTTTCTTGTCATATATCTATAATGAGGCAAAAAATTTAAATGCCGCCATAACTTTCGGTTCTTCATTACTGAAGTAGTGAAGCAGAGGGGGGCCCCAAAAGAAGTTTTTGCTCCAGGCCCCACTTGGACTAATAATTGGGTATAACCAATATTCTTTACCGTTTCCTAAAAAGCTAATATATTTTCTTCAATAGCGAATTCCAATAAAATTAAGCTTAAATTTCTCTCATGGGACTGACGAATCTCAGAAACAAATTTACAACTTCCTTCAAAGAATAAATAAGAAATAAAGCTTTCAATGCAAGATTTTCTTTTTTAAAAAGATTTTAAAATTTTTAGTAGAAATAATTAAACCTCCTCATTCTATTTTTAATTAAGGAAGATTTTCACATCTTGATATGCGGTATTATTCTTGACAAATTTAAAGCAGTGGCCTATGAAAAACTAGAAGAAGAAAAAAAAATCACAAAAGTTATCTAACTTGAAAGGTATAACTTGTAGCCACCCCTGCGCAAGCCATTACAGGCTGTTAAAAAAAATTGCAAGTTTAAAAAACTATCTGGCGCTTTTCGGTTATAGTTCGCACAACAGATCAGTACAGAAACATCCCGATTATATGATACTAGAAGTTAAATTTTTTTTTTGCCAAAAAAATGAAAAGTATTCATATTTAATAAAACCTTTATTAAGTGTAATTAAGAAGTAGTAGATCTCTATTTCAGTGGATCAACAATTTTTTGAAAATAGTTTTAGCATTAAAAGTGTAATACAATTTTTAAGAAAAGCATAAAAAATTTAAATTGATCATACTTTTTTTCTTAATTAAATGAAAAACAGAACGATCAGCTTTTGAAATTACTGAACATTTTTTAAGAGCAAACATAAATATTTTTATCTTTTTTCAAAACTTTAGCATTAAAACCTATATAAATATAGAGAACTATATGTAAACTATTAATATTGTTATTAATAGAAAATAAATAGCAATGAGTTATATTTCTTATTAAAACATAAAAATGTGTTCACTTAAAATTCGCTTTTTTTGGAGATAGTCATGATTTAAAATTAAGTCACTATTATTATAATTTTTGATTCAAAAATATGTGAAATTTTTTTAATAACTTAAGAATTGGAAGTAAATTAAACAATCAACAAGGAATTTAGCAAATTGAACAACCGTTGTTTAAGATTTATAGCCATGAGTCGAGTTATTAACATTAAAATCCACCTATCTGATCCAACTTTACGTATTAACGTGCTGCCATCTGTAGCATAAGTCATCAACTACAACTTAAAAAACTTCTAAGCTGTACGAAAAGTAAATATGTTTTGATTGTTATAGAAAAATGTTGTCATTAAATCATACATATTTAATAAGATTGATTTTCTTTGAAAAAGTCACTATCACTAGAAATAAAATAGTGATTTAAATTTTTTTTATTTTTATTTAGAACAGAAAAGATTATAAGACTTATTAAAGTTTTTTCTTACAAAAATTGTGATTCAACACCAGTCTCAAAAATTTTAATATCGGCACAATATAATCAGCCATAAAAAAAGTAAATAATTCAATTTCTTTACTTCTGAAGTTTTAGAGATTACAAGCTTTAAAATCAATGAAGAAATAAAATTAAAACAAAGAAGAGAAATTATATTTTAAAGTGTAAGCGTTTAACAGTTGCAGATACGCTTCTGTGTATTTAGCACAACAATGTACTTAAATGAGAAATATTTCTTCAACACAGTAAAAGAAGAATATAGAATGCTGAAACATAAGGAATTTTTTTACATTACAACTAACACAAATATATGACAGTAAGCATTTATGCTAATAATTCATAAAGCTTTAATTTTTAAAGCTTTTGAAGAGCTGAAGTTTTTCGTTAGTTTATTTTGAATAGTATTGTCAGCTAAGAATAATAAAAAATACTAAATACTAACAAAATACTAACTGAAAATAATAATAATACAATTTAAAAGTTCTAGTACATGGAGATAATTGTAAGAAACAATTTGAGATAAATAATATATATAAAGCTTTAATTTTAATATATATATCAGGGTGCGTAGTCAAATTATTCAACAAAAAATAAGCACCTGTTAAGTACTTTTCAAGCACTCAAAAAATATTTTTAAGCACTTTAAAAAAATATCACTAATTAGGCACGGTCGGAAAGTTTTTGATAATTGACGGTTTTATCTAATTTTCCCCGTCATATATAAAAAAATTAAAAAAAAAAACCTTTGGCATTGTTTCAGACAATTGTCAAAAATAATGAAATTTTGAATCGTGTAAAACGAATGGCGTTTTCATATGCTATGGACTGATAATACGCCGAAATAAATTGGGGTTGAATTAATTGTGAAAACGTTGAATAGAACAATGTGAACTGTGTCTTTTTGCATAATTCGAAGCGAAAATCAACATAGTAAAGGAAAAATCTCATTTTGAAAAAGGAAAATTAAGCACTTTTTAAAAACATCCAATGAAAAAAGCACCTTAAGGGCTTTTAAAAACGTTACGCACCATATATATATATATATAGAAAAANCACAGGAACTCGCACCATATATATAT